CACACACACACACACACACACACACACACACACACACACACACACACACACACACACACATTCGCATATTCATTCTTAAAAGCTGGGCTTTCACTAGGTGTGGTGTTTCGATATTAGTCACGCACAGACAGTGTGTCTGATGTCCATGAGACTCGGCCTGTGTGCATTGGAAAGAGAAAAGGGGGCTGGGCTCACCTCTCCCCTGTCTAGTTTATCTGTTTGATTGTTGTGACGTGTTGTGACAGCATGGCTGTTATTCAAACAGGGGCAGGCTGTTCAGAACAAGTCTCAAAATTCCTCTGGAGCCTGGCTCAGTACTTGCTTCTCTGCCGCTACCGTGAAAACCAATGTTACTTTGCCTTTTTTTTTTCCTCGAGGCATCAAACTACCAAAAATGTTGGAGGGAAAGAAAAGGCTTCTCTAGTTGTCTGTGAGGCCCTGGCATGTGATAGAGGGTGACGCCTTTGTTGGTGAGATATTATCATGAGAGTTACCTTTACAATGGAACAATGATAGGAGCTTAAGAATGCACCGAGCTCAAGCTTTAATGGATGATTTCGTATTAAAGTGCAAATTTAATTTTGACCGCTGGGGTCAAACAGATGCAAAAAAACAACAACAAAAAAAGCACATAGAAATTGCCGTTTCTAAACCTAAAGCCTAACTGAGCATAAAGGCACAGCATTTTTTTCAACTACTTGCTGTCTCACCAAATAATGACATTAAAACGTCTGAGGAACCAACACAAAACAACAAGGGAAAATAAGTCTGAAGTTTTTGTCCTTTTGCGAGTGTTTTACACAAACACTATAAAATTGAGAAGATCTAACAGTTAGCCAAACCCAACTGATGTTCAAAAATTGCACAGTTAAACATCTGGATACCCTTAATAAGCTGTTTTTTTTTCTTTCTAATGAACACAGAGGCACAAAACCAGACAGACAAATAGACAGGCACGAAAATAAAGAGAGATGAATAATGATAACAATTAAAATTAATTGTATTAATAATGAGCAGTTCCGAGAATGGATGGACGAATGGTTCTTTTGAGGGATTAGCGCTGGATAAAGTACAACAATGTCTCCCGGATCTTATAATCGGTGTTGTTGTCTTTTGTGGAAGATGTGAATTTCTCCAAATGTGATTGTTCCACTCTCAGGTTACACCAATGTTTTTGAGATAGTTTTGTATGGCCTTTCGAGTGAAGTAAAATTACTTTTCTTTTGGCCACTGTTACAGAGAAGCGAAAGAATGTTTGAAGATGTTTGGGGACGGATAGGGAGGAGGGGTCCCCAAGCAGGGTTATAGTGGGGGAGAGTGGGATACTGAGCCTGAGGATCTTGATTTGATACATATTTTTATCCCTAAAATATTTTTACTGCTGACTTCAGAAAGGAGAATGAGCGCAGGTGAGGATTAATGGGTGTCATCGCTAATAAACTGTTAATTTTAACTGATGCAATATGGCCGATAAGTGAAAGTGGAAGTTAATTTTGTCGATTTAGGTCTCTTTAACAAGCTTTTAACAACCTCGCATCAGACTGATGCTGCAATACTGCGGATGTCCCGAGCTCCAATCAAACCTAGAGGCTTAACAATAGCAGGCCTTGTTTTCAGTTTATGTTTGTCTCTGGATCAAATGCATTTTATTCCATTTTGAAAGCTCTTTTTATCACAACAACAGTGAAGTCGGGATTGGTCAGTGTAAAAACACCACTGAAATGGAATCCAAACGTGAGGAGCAACAAACACTCACAACATGACATAGAAGACATTTCTGAAAGTGTTGTTCGCTTCAGAAGGAGGTAATAAGGAGGTCAATTGTGTGAAGACACAGAATATTTCATAAAATATTTGGCAAGAAAAAAAAACTACTTTGGCAAAATTAGCTTGGTGAGCTAGTATAAGCAATTCAGGTGAAAAAAACCCCAAAACAAATAAATTATCTGCCTCACACGGACATTGAAATATTTACTGTCACAACTCTGCTTCTGGCTGGGCCTTAATCAAGACGTACGTACCCAGTGATGCTTGGATGGGTGCCATTGTCAATGCTCATTCATGGCTTTTGCTGGCTGGCCATTTTGTTTGGGTATCCTTGAGTTCTAAATATTCCCCATCCACATCAAGTGACATACACAGGTTGATCTGAATGTAATTTCTTTTAAATATAAATCCTGATTGACGAAATACAAAGTGACCATAGTTATGTGTGTATGCTGTGTGGCCTGGCACACTGGATACCCTCATTGAACAACAACAGGATCAATCTTACACCCCACCCCTCGTGCCCTCCCTCATCCCATACGCTGTAAAATGTGGCACATATCTTTTATTAAGAGGCCTCATGTAGGCCACGTTAATGTTCAAGCTACACGGATACAGTTTTTAACAGGAACACATCACACTTTCACAATACGTTGAGATTCTTTGACAGGGTGCAGCATCCAAAAACTGAAGGGGTCTGTCTGCCCATTGTTGCACTGTGCTGTATATAAGGTCTCTCTCTGCGTCAAAAGCACAGTGCAATCATTCCTCTTCTAGCAGATACGGTGCATAGCAATGACTCGATTGATACACGCACGGGTCTTTCATTTGCGGTTTACTCAAGTAAAACCAAAACCTTTCAGGCCAAATGATCCACTTTCACTAACATCGCATTCGACGACACTCACCTTGACTATTCTCCAATGAGGTAACAGATGTGTCGATCCTATCTGCCGACCACGCATCGTTGTCTGTCCGCTGAGAGACCACGGACATCATTGTCTGTAGCATTTTCTCCGGGGCAAAGAATGGTGTGTGTGCATCAGTGGATCTTTTGCGGGGAGCGCTTAACCTGGAAATCAGCGGCGCGATGTCTTCCTTGGCGCTTGAAATGCCTCCGATGTCAAAATCGGCGGTAGACGGCTCAGTTGTTGTAGAAAGAATGGGGTCTTGTGGGATATGGCTAACTATGCCCATAGCAGACGACTGTGCCAACGCGAACCTGTTCTCGGGTAAACGGCGATGTATATCTGAATGGAAGGTCTTCCAGGTGTCGGAGTCTGTGTCTGGCTTCCTGGAGATAGGAGACGCATCGTAGAGACTGATGCGAGGTGCAGCTTCAGAAAAATCGATATATACATACAAAATAAATAGCACAACCGACGATATGTACATCATTAAGGACGTTAATCTCATATTCAGTCTCAGCTCTCCATGTAAGCTCCAGTAACGGTCTCTCTCAGACCTTTCCCTGAATGGACGCGTACTCCACCATTGATGTCTCCCGGCGACGTACGGTACTGCGAGTCGCCTCATGAACCACAAGTCATTGCTCTGCAACCAAACTTCCTCAATTCCCAACCTTGCAGTGCACGAGCCAATAGGAACTCGTAGTGACCAATAAAAGAACATCCCCGGGTAGCTGATTGGATAGGCGTCACAACAATCATTCGAGACAGCAAAGAATCGTCGTACTGGGAATTTTTTTTTTTACGACGAACCTGATGTGACGAAAACAATGTTTTTGTTAAAAATATTCCCATTTCCAACTCGAAACTCATCAATGATAATTTTAATCAACCTGGAACATTTTTTAAACATTTGAGCCTAAACCTAAAGTCAAAATGAACAATGGACAAAATGTCTATCTTTTAAAACCCATCACGCTTTTTAATTCGTTCAATTATCAAATGGAATTTAAAAAGAGAATAGTAAGTAAAACACGACACGTAATCCACGAAAATAACAAAACATAAAACCGAGAAGCTCAGACGCTTATTATTACATTACTGTATATTAGTCACATGACAAAAGTGTACATTAGACTGCACAGAACCACACGCTTATTTGCCTTGACGCTAAACTAGTGAGATGATGTTGGATTGACACGCGTGTACAGTAGTTCACCCAAGCGGCCAAAATATGCCACTACGTCAAAACGATGTAAATAGCCGCATTGGAACATACGGCCAGGAGATGGCAGTAGAGTGTTTCATAAAACGCAGATGGCCCGACCCCCAAAGCAGAAAAATCGATATATACATACAAAATAAATAGCACAACCGACGATATGTACATCATTAAGGACGTTAATCTCATATTCAGTCTCAGCTCTCCATGTAAGCTCCAGTAACGGTCTCTCTCAGACCTTTCCCTGAATGGACGCGTACTCCACCATTGATGTCTCCCGGCGACGTACGGTACTGCGAGTCGCCTCATGAACCACAAGTCATTGCTCTGCAACCAAACTTCCTCAATTCCCAACCTTGCAGTGCACGAGCCAATAGGAACTCGTAGTGACCAATAAAAGAACATCCCCGGGTAGCTGATTGGATAGGCGTCACAACAATCATTCGAGACAGCAAAGAATCGTCGTACTGGGAATTTTTTTTTTTACGACGAACCTGATGTGACGAAAACAATGTTTTTGTTAAAAATATTCCCATTTCCAACTCGAAACTCATCAATGATAATTTTAATCAACCTGGAACATTTTTTAAACATTTGAGCCTAAACCTAAAGTCAAAATGAACAATGGACAAAATGTCTATCTTTTAAAACCCATCACGCTTTTTAATTCGTTCAATTATCAAATGGAATTTAAAAAGAGAATAGTAAGTAAAACACGACACGTAATCCACGAAAATAACAAAACATAAAACCGAGAAGCTCAGACGCTTATTATTACATTACTGTATATTAGTCACATGACAAAAGTGTACATTAGACTGCACAGAACCACACGCTTATTTGCCTTGACGCTAAACTAGTGAGATGATGTTGGATTGACACGCGTGTACAGTAGTTCACCCAAGCGGCCAAAATATGCCACTACGTCAAAACGATGTAAATAGCCGCATTGGAACATACGGCCAGGAGATGGCAGTAGAGTGTTTCATAAAACGCAGATGGCCCGACCCCCAAAGCTTTGAGGAAGTTGCGCAAGACAACTAGCTAGTTACAATGGCGCCTCTAGATCTGGATAAATATGCGGAGATCGCAAAACAGTGCAAATACCTTCCAGAAAATGACCTAAAGGTAAATCAGTCATAATAAGAACACATGCAGTAAGACGAGAGGTTGTGTGCCTGTGATACTTTGCGTAAGTTGTGGTTATAATGTGTAATTAACCGAGGTTAGCTTAAGCGAGCTAGTAGCGTTTAGCACGCTCGCTTCGTCTGTGCGGCCAGGAAGTTACGAGAATTGAATGGAGCGAAGGAGGTGATGTTATTTATTTAACAGTTGGCACGGTCATCTTTGTGTGCCATACGTGTGTCAAGATAAAAATGATGAGACCTCTCTGTATTGACCTGATGGCGGTGACTGCCATTTTGAGGTAGACTGCTGAATGTCAATCGTTAAAATTGCTGTGTGGACTGCACTGCTAATATGTTTATGGGGAACACACAGGTAATGTAGAGTGACTGAGAGACATGCAATGTCAGTGACAAGTTAAATGACTTAAATAACACCATAATATGCTTCCTTTTAGAACGTGTATGGAACTGTGAACTATGTAATTAGGGAATTGCGTTGGAGTCTATGCCAAGAAAGCCAGGCTTGTACATAAAACACTGTCATCTACATCATACCTGCATGCGCCCAAAATAATAGAATCTTTTGAATTTTAGATTGCTCTTAACTGACGTGCTTAATCCAATGTTTATGGGCTGTTCTACCCGTCCTGATTCAATCAGAAAGACTGGCGCATGATGCTTCAGTGTAGAAATGTTTAATTTTACTCTTTATTATGCCTCAAAGGCGATCGTATTGTTGAGTGTGTACCTACCTACCTGTATTAGGTGTCTTTCAAAGTATGGTGTTACCAGTGAACTCTTCTGGGTTAATATCGTCCATGTTTTGGGAAGTGGATCAAAATCACTCGCTAATATGGAAAGGGCTCTCAACGAATAAGGAATTTCGCTAGCATTTAAAACTCAAGTCAATCCTAGGGACATATATATGTATTTTTAATGTCTTTTAAGAATCCAGACATTCAATCCCATGCACATTTTTGTGTCTTCTATGTTTTTCACATGGGAGGGTAAAGGAGGATCTGAAAATGGCTGGCATTGAATGAGGTTTAAATTGTTTTAATTTTAAGCCATCCCTGGATACAAAAATACCAAACCATCTTTTATACACCTTATTCTCCCATTGCATAAAATGTACTTGAATATAACTTACTATAATGCCTCTCAGTTTATGTATCCTGCAAAAATCTTTGCATATCCAATATTTTTCACTGTTGATAATTGGATGCCCTATCGGTTCTCAAACATTTTGGCAGTTGCTTTATGCCAAAATAAAGTGAAGTCGGTCTGAACGTCACCACCTTTACAGTACTTCTATGATTTTTCTCCTACACAGAGATTATGTGACTACGTGTGTGATCTTCTGCTGGAGGAGTCTAACGTTCAACCTGTTTCTACTCCAGTAACAGTATGTGGGGACATACACGGACAGGTAAAATTTCCAGACACTAAAAACTAGTGCATTAAATGTAATTATTATTTTTTGTATATTTTTTTTCTAACATGATTTTTTTCCCCCTTTTGTGCTAGTTTTATGATCTTTGTGAACTATTTCGAACTGGCGGCCAAGTTCCAGATACAAATTACATATTTATGGTTTGTATATATTTTGTATTAATGTAATAATTTAAGACCAACATTTCTTCATGGTGTCACCCTTGACTTTATCTTGATAATAACCCTTTTTATCTTGATCCTTAGGGAGACTTTGTTGACCGAGGATACTACAGTTTGGAGACTTTTACCTACTTGCTGGTGCTGAAAGCCAAATGGCCAGACCGCATTACTCTTCTGCGTGGAAATCATGAGAGCAGACAGATTACTCAAGTTTACGGCTTTTATGGTGAGATGAGAGTAAAAGAATCAGATCAGTTTTCAACACACTGCAATAAATACTTATATCTTTGCACCTACCAAACAGTAATCGCAATGTTTACCATTTTTTATTCTTTCCACAGATGAGTGCCAGACCAAATATGGAAACGCTAATGCCTGGCGTTATTGCACCAAAGTGTTTGATATGTTAACAGTGGCAGCTGTAAGTATTAAATAACATTATATACAGAGGGACCTTGATTCAGTGGATCCTGATTTAACTTATACTTTTTTTTGTAGCCCTTCTCTATGGTATTCAATCGTAACAGAATTGTAAAAAAGAAATGTGCTAACCTCGCAGCTCTTGAATGTGATCAGTTGCACACCATTATAATCTCCCCCAGCACCAGCAAGCTTGGATATAATCCTAAAACTTCCTCTCCCCTCTATTAGTCCATTCAATCGAGGATCCTTTATACAGTGGACCACCGCATACTCACGGTTCGGCACTCCCCAGATTCACTTATTTACAGATTTTTAAACATTTTATTCCCTGTCATATTTTTAAATATTAACAAATATTTTTATTGGAGGGATGGGGGTTCTTTGTCGAAAACACATTGGTGGTTTATCAATATTTTTTGAAGGATTTTGTGGGCTTTTATCTCTCTCTCTCTCTCTCTCTCTCTCTCTCTCTCTCTCTCTCTCTCTCTCTCTCTCTCTCTCTCTCT